TGCCTTTTTTTCATTCTTCAGACCAAAAGTCTGACCTCATCATTCTTCATCTCATGCTCGTTGTCTCGGCTAGGGGCGGGACGTGTCGCAATCTGGCTCAGACGCCCGGCGAGATGGCCCTCGTGCCTCTTCTTGTCCGCAGAGGCCACGAGACGGGTGTGCTAGCAGCAGCAACAGCATCGACCATGTCCAGGCCTGTGAAACTAAGAGATTTGGGATCTGGGCAAAGTGTCCTTGCCAATCTCCGTCTGAGCTCTTTGACGCGAGCCTCGTCAGAGTACCCGCGGTGCATTCATGCGTCCTCGACCTTTTCTCTCCACCGCGCGAGGGTCTCTCGGAGGATTACAGCGGGAGACCGGCGGCACGGGATAGACGACGTTGCGGGTAGAGGAACCGACCCCCGTCAGAGGAATTTCGATCCTCGAGCGGTTCGCCGTTTTGTCGGCGGTTTCCCCCACAAATTGGAGAGTGGCTGAAGGGGAGAATGTTCCAAGAATGCAGACAGAAAAGCCAGAACGGGCCATTGAGGCCATTGTTCAAGGATGGGCAACTAAGAGGGCCCGGCGAATAGCATAAGACAGGAGCTGCAAGCCTCCCCCTATCTCTTGCAACTGCCTTATCCGCGACGACGAAGAGGCTTCGCGACGGCCAGAATTGGAAGTCACGACCTCCATGGCACCCTTGGGGATCCCTGCCGATCAGCTTCAAGCATTATGGCATGCATGAGTGGCCTAGACAGTGGGACGAGGGGGCGGGCCCGTTGGCGCTGGGGGTGACGAGGGCGAAGGCGACAGTGACGACTCGAGCACTCGTCGAGGGCCGATTTAGCGGAGGGATCAACGGGGTCCTTGTGGGAGAGATGGGAGAAAGGGGCGCGTTCCTGATCGTGGAGTGGAGGGACGGGAGACAGGCTCTTGTTTCAGAAGGGATCTTGCGCCTGGGGGAGACCTCGCTCTGTTGGCGCCGCGCGACGTCTTTCGTCTGTACTTGAGAAGAGACTGAAGGCGTTGGAATGCGTTGGAGGGAATCCGATGGATGGTATAAACTGCGAAGTCTCCCCTATTGCGGCTTGTAGTGTGACTGACTCCCTCAATATTCTTCTCGCCGTTGTCGTGTTGCCAGCTTGTTTTGTTTTCAACACGCATTGAACCTGCTAACGAACCTTAGTGTCTTTTAGCTGTAAGTGACACAGACATATTCAACCCACAACATTCCATTCACCTGCTAAAAGAGGCACCCTTAGAAGACGTCCAGAAGAAACGTTTCCCCCCTCATCCTAGCAGACCGGCAGTTGGGCCGTTATCGATAAGCCACATCACTATCGAAATCCCGGCGCCTGCAGCGGACGAGCGCTGCCAATCGACTTAGCGAGCCACTAGAATCGCCCGAAATGACGTCCACCGGGGGAGGCCCTCAGGGGCAGCGCCCACTGTCAGGCTCGAGTCTGCCCGGCAACGTCCAGTGCAACGAGGAATTCCCCGAGTTTTGTTTACACGACCACTCGGCCGGCACCAAATCCACCACCGGCAGCCACACCTCTACATCTTCACCCGCCTCCACGACCCCGACCACACCGACCAACACCGAGCACTCGACTCCAGAAAAGTCCTCCCCCGACTCGCGTTTCCGTACAAACAGCTCCGCCAGCACCACACCGAGCCCGCGAAGCCGACGAGACAAAAAGGAGTTGCATGCGCAGCGCCTGCAGAGATCTGGAAGCAGCAGCCTCGCATTAACTCGCAAGGAGAGCGTCGCCAAGAAGAACCGCTTCCGCTCTGCCACCGGATCCTCCCCCGCCGATGCCCTCGCTGCCATTGAGCCGCCGCATGACCAGGGCTTGACGAGAATGGCGTTTGCTGAACAGCAGAAATGGATCACGGTCCAGCAAAAGACCTTTACCAAATGGTACGAGCCGGACCCCACCCCGAGAAAAAGACCCTGGTTCTGTCCGTGGTGGTGACGATCAGTTACTGATATGTGTATTTTCTTACCAGGCTCAACACCAAGTTGGAGGCTCGTTCACTCGAAGTCAAGGATCTCGTGCGTGATCTCAGCGATGGTGTAAGTTGCAAGCCCCTATTCCCAGAATTGCGGGGTTCTCTTGGCTAACAGAGATTGCTTGCGCAGGTTATCCTCATCCACTTGCTAGAAAGCCTGTCCAACGACACACTGGGACGCTACGCGGCGAAGCCGAAGCTTCGCGTTCAACGATTCGAAAATGTCAACACCGGTCTGGATTTCATCAAGTCCAGGGGCATTCAGATGACAAACATCGGTGCCGAGGATGTCGTCGATGGCAACCAGAAGATCATCCTTGGTCTGATCTGGACACTCATTCTGCGGTTCACGATCAGTGACATCAACGAGGAGGGTATGACAGCCAAGGAGGGCCTGCTCCTGTGGTGTCAAAGAAAGACGGCTTGCTACGACGAGGTAGAGGTCCGCGACTTCAGCGGCAGCTGGAACGACGGTCTCGCCTTTTGCGCCCTGCTCGATATCCACAGACCAGACCTGATCGACTACGACGCCCTCGACAAGTCGGACCGTCGGGGAAACATGCAGATGGCTTTCGATATCGCGCATAAGGAGATTGGTATTCCTAAGCTGCTGGATGTTGAGGATGTGTGTGACGTTGCCAAGCCCGATGAGAGGTCACTCATGACCTACATCGCCTACTGGTTCCACGCCTTCTCTCAGATGGAGAAGGTCGAGAATGCAGGACGTCGCGTGGAGAAGTTTGTCAACAACATGGCTGGCGCTTGGGAGATGCAAAGCGCGTACGAGAGGCGCATGAGAGAGCTTCTGAGGCAGATCAGGGAGCAGGTTGAGAAGTGGCAGCAGGCCACGTTCCAAGGAACGTATGCCGATGCCAAAGCTCAAGCCAACGAGTTCGCGGCGTTCAAGAGGGGTAAGAAGAGAGACTGGGTTGCCGAGAAGAGCGAGCTCGCCACCCTGTTGGGCAACATCAAGACGAAGTTGGGCACGTACAGGCTGCGGCCGTATGACCCTCCACCAGAGTTGTCGCTGGAGACAATGGAGAAGGAATGGTCAACTCTGGCGCAAACGGAGATGAGGCGAGCACAGTTGATCAACGAGACCATCAGAGAGTGAGTGTTGCAGCTTTCCAGAGTGAAACGATTCTCATACTAACTTCACGACAGCATCAAGAACGCCCTCCGCAAATCTTTCGCCGACAAGGCCAACGACTTTGCCATGGCTCTGAATACCATGCAACTGGCAATTTCAGGTCTGGACGGTGATGTTGAGGACCAACTGCACCACGTCCGCAAGCTCAGCGACAACCTCCCCCCTCTCGACAAGTATCTCGACACTATTGCTGCAGTGGACGCCAAGTGCCAGGAGGCCAACATTGAGGAGAATGACTTCACCACTTACACCTACGATGAGTTGGTCTATGAGCACAGTCTAGTCAAGTCTTCGGTGCAGAAGAAGCTTTCCTTCCTCGACAACCAGATGGTCGCCCGCAACATGACCAACCTGACGCCCATCCAGCTTGAGGAGTTCGAGTCTGTCTTCCGCCACTTTGACCGGGACGACACCAACTCACTCCAAGAACTCGAATTCAGCGCCGCTCTTGCCTCCCTTGGCCTCGTCTTCTCCGAGGATGAGATGCACGACTACTTCATGGATACCTCAAAGGGCCGCGACCACGTCACTTTCGAGCAGTTCATCCGCTTCATGGTTGACGTGACCGAGGATCAAAACACCGCCGAGCAGGTCTTCCAGTCCTTCCGTGAGGTCGCCGATGGCAAGCCCTACGTTACTGAGATGGATCTCCGCCACTCCCTGGTACCCGACGAGGTCATTGACAAGCTCATTGAGATCATCCCGCCGCACAACGGGCCAGACACCTCCGAGGACCGCGGCATGCCGCAGTACGACTACATCGCCTTCATGGAGAAGATGATCAACGACGAGAAGGAGGCTGGCAATGTGCCCATCGGCGTGCTCCAGGAGCGCACTAACCGCGCGAGCACAGTGCCGCCCAAGGACCCCAAGTTGAATGGTAACCACTAAACGATTCGCGGATTGCGAAAAAAAAAAATCAAACAATTCAACAAACATCAAAACAACCACACAACGGACAATAATGGAACGGTCTGGGAGGCAGGGAGGCAAATTCTTCTCATCGGGGGTCTTTCCTATGTCCAAAACCACACACACTTCACACAAACAAAAACCGAAAAGGTATATATACCGCAACCACCACCATCACACACGCACACATACAAAACATTAGTATCCCTCCCTGGGCGAGGGCCCTCCAAACACATCCCCAGCTCCCGGGCCTCTGAAAACACGGGTGAACCGGGGGAAGCAACAGGTGGAGAGAGGTTGGGGAAGAGGGAGGCGGGCGTTCAAGCATCGTTTCCACAGCATTGGTTGGGTGTTTAGGGCGCGAGCGAGTCTCTTGTCGTCGCAGGGAGCGAAATGGATATTCTCTCACTCCTTTTGTTTTCTTCTTGTCGTTCTGTCAGGTACATATAAAAACCAAAAATCAGAGTAGAAACCCTTCATTTTTCTTTCTCTTTCTCTTCTTCTTTGCTGGTGCCTCGGAAAATCATCATGAAATGATGGCCGTGCCATTGACAGGGACGATGTTCATGTTTAGTGTACGGAGAGGCACTCTTGCTTTTATCCCACTGGCGCCCGGAGACTTCCCGGAAACCAGTGCTCGCACAGGATGTTTGCTCATGCGATAGCATCAGCACTTTCCCATCTTGATCAGCCGCGGAGGATGTGGGGTATGACGGTCTTTCTTTTATTTCAAGCTACTTTGTAAAAACCCTATGTCTAGTAATAATACCACACGACCCTCCTTGTATAATGTGCCAGTGGTGTAGCCTCGCTGTACCTGTAGCCTGGACTGCCGACAGGTCCCATATCAAATATCAAAACGCCAATGTCTCCGGTATGCTGCCCTTGTCCTACTCGTAATGAACGCAAATTGCCTGTCAAGGCCGCCGCCACATATAATCTCACTTCTGGTTCTCGAATGCACCCATATCCTTCAACGAGTTTGCCAGTCTCCTGTAGTCACGCAACAGCTCCAGTACTTCGTTAAGCTTGAGATCGCCCGCATTCTGGAGCTCCATGAATCGCTTGTTGGGTGGTTTGATCTGTGGCACTGGCTTGGGGGGCGGTGCTTGCTTGGGCGGCAAAGCGGCCGCGATATCTGGGAAGGCCTGCATCGAAATTAGTCTCGAATCCTAGCTGCTGCCCATGGGAAACATACCGTTGCAAGGTCGACACCTTCGGCTGCCTTGGCCGGACCGTCTTTTGGCGGTGACATCTCCTTGGCCACGACGGGCGTAGACGCAGTCCGACTAAGGCCACGAATCATGCCCATGCCAGAGAACCTGGAGAGCGAATTGCCAAAGTTGCGCACAGAGTCGAGTGGATTTGAGCCCGATGCTGGCGACGAGGTGGACAAACCCTTCTCGTCATTCTCTTTCAGCAGCGTAGCCTTCTTGGAACTGCTCACGCTGCGAGAACTGTCGGCACTGTGGTCTCTGCTAGGTTTCCGTCCGCCGATGAGGTTCAACATTTTGTCCTCTCGTAAGGGTGCTCGACGGGTGGAGTCGGCATCCTCTGTTCCGTGAATGGAACTGGCACCGCTCACCGAGCCCTCCTCCTCGGGAGGCGGGGTGCTGACCAGTTTCCTGGCATCATCAAGAGTTTTTGGCACGACAAGCCCCTGACCCGATTCTGTGGGTGACCCTTGAGACTCCCGCAATTTGCCAACGAGAAACTTGTAGCTATCGCCCAAGCTCGTCGAAATGGTCTTGATATGCTGGTCAGCAGTGTTGAGAACAGCATCACTGGCAGCGCCGATAGCTTGGGCAGGCGTGTTGACGAGTTCGCTCAGTCTTCTATTCCGAGCCTGGACTGCAGCACGCAGCCCGGCCGAGGCCGAGGGCGAAGCGGGCGGCTTCGTTGGGGTAGCATTCCCAGTAGCGGTCTCCACCGTTGTGTCCGCTGTTACCGTCAAGCCGGGCGGGAAGGCCGGAGGAAACGTGTCAGCGCGGGGCGTCCCCGGCTGGCTCGGACCTTTTCCAGGACCTTGGGGTAGCTCATCCGCCCTTAGCGTGGATAGATCGACCGTCTCCAGAAAGGCAATGGCCGCTTCCAGATTGGTCAAGCAGTACGCGGCCTCACCCGTCAACTTGGTCTCCCATCTAAAGTACTGAATAAAGTGCAAGTCGCTTATGACGTTCAAGTGTTCAGGAGGAAGCGTGATGAGTGCGAAGATGAGCATCGGCATGATCTCATCCGCGGAAGCAGACGGATGGAAGTGCGCCAAAGTCTCGACAATGCTCTTATGAGCTGCCTTCAGATGGTGAAGCTTGCCAAGCGGATACCTCTTCTCATTCATCATGATGAGGTCTCTCCTGGCCTGCTCCAGCCACTTCTTGATTTCTTCGGTTTTCTCGACAGCTGCCTCAGGTGTCTGCGCCTTGTCGTCTCCAAGATCGATTCCAAGGTCTAAGGGCCCAATACCAACAAGGGCCAAGGCTGCAGTCTTGGAGCGCAGTTTGGCATCTTGCGCCTCATCTTGGGTGCTCTTGTGGCGATAAATCTTGTGATAGATGCCCTCACATAGCCTTCGCTCGACGGCCTCCTCGATGACTCCCCGCTTGGCCTCAATCGCCTTTCGAGCCTTCTTCTTGTTGGCCAGCTCCTCCGCAGTGATCATTTGCTGTTCCGGCTCGGCCTTGGGCAGGACTTTTGGCTTGTCCTTGTTGCCGAGAGACGCTGCCTTGGCTCGAAGCCTACTGGCTGTGGAGACCTTGGATGACGCGGACGGAGCGGGAGACGCCTCCCGGTTATGCCGGGAGACCAGCGAAGAAATGTGGGTGTTGATGTGTGTTGATGCGACTTGATAGAAATCCTGGAAAAGCTGGGAAACATTGTCGATGTTCAGTGGCGTCGGGTGGTGTTTCGTGGTCAGCGACTCGACGAAGCTGTGCTCTGTCAGATCATCGTACTCTAGGTTGGAAGGCATCAGGTGCGCTACCTGTCAGTCAAGCTCACAAGCTCGATTGGCAACTCGCCCAAATCCACAGATCCTCTGCCATCGAAGCCATCGTCGTTATCTGTTGAGGGTCGTGTTTCAAAGGCATCTGGGGCCTCTGGTTCGTCTGCCTGTTTCGACTTGCTGGGGACGGCCGGCGTGGCCAACGGGTCGGGTGCAGAGCCATTCTGAAATGTTTGGGCTCGTTTCGGTACTCTCAGAGGATCGCTGTCCTCGCTCTGGCGAGTGAAGGATGGGGCTCGTATGGTGCTCGGCCGAGCAGCGGGAGACTTGGAGGGGCCGGTGGACGCCATGAGGGTTTCGACGGTGCTAGAAGCCATCTCTGTCAGCCGTGCAGATTGCAAGAGTGCGAAAAGACGGGCCAATGTCGCGGGCTCAAGAAGTGCATACCTGTTGTCGTCAGGGCGGCATTAAGTATTGAGCCGGTCTTGAAACCCGATATCAGAGGAAAGAGATCCCTGGCGGCAGCACGCGGGACGGTTGAGTCGCGTGTGAGGCGGATTTATGCCATAAATGGAGCGGGTTGGCAGGGATAATGGATCGCAGGATGGCCAAAGATGGCAGTTATGTTTCTATTCGCATCTCTAACAGAATGATGTAAGGGCTTCTTTGCGATGGCAGCACGGCCTGCTCGGTGCCCGCGCAGAAGAAGCAAAAGCAACAAGGCGGAAGTCGATGTCTTTGCAGATGGAATGGAAGCTTCAGAGCAACATGAACAAGGCGACGTAACGCAAGCAACGGGCAGCTACTGTGGGAGCTTTCGTCCCCGCTCTTGTCTCATTGGAACACTAGAAAAGGTGGAAGGTGTCATCTGCAGACGGATCCGACCTTCAGTGCATGCATCTACTGGGGAGCTACGGATAGGCATGACAGGGGGCTTGATTTAGGCAGGGCAGGGCGTAGTGGCTCTCGGGCTACTTCACCTCGTGTCCAGGAGCCGCTCTACCACAGGGCGAATGATGCTTCACCATCTCGTCCGTTTTGGTTAGGTCGGTAAGGTACTTTCACCTTCTGACCTGGGCCAGACATGTTGCCATCTCGATCTGCTGTCGTGGCCGGCTCTGTTATCCAACCTTGGGCACCATGCTATCCTCGACTCTCGCCTAACACAGCAGACAGAGGATAAAGGCAGCCAAAGCTGCTTTCAAATCGTCAATGTACCTTAGGCAGTTCAGGTATCCCAATAAGGTGCTCCGGGGACCTGGGCGGTCAGGTCACCGTCCACAACCAACACTGCCTGCAGAATCCCGTGTTAAGCCCCGTAGACAATCTCCAGCATGAATACGCTTGACTTGCCTCGGGCTGTCAAAAATTAGGTATCCATGGCAGCTGCACCGCCCTGGATGCCTGGGGAGCGCGACGGGATCGTCCAGTTACCGAGCGTCCGCTGAAGATGACCTTGATGCCCCAAAGTGGCGGACACGAACGAGTGTCAGGCCTCCGACTGGCTGGAAATACAGAAGACATGCACTGTCTGAAGTGACCATGGTCACATGCTGGTGTGGGTTTCCCTGATTGCGCCTTATCAGGAGGCATGGTGCCTTGAGTACTGATTCAGGGGATCTGTTAACATCAAAGCGGCCCTCTACGCTTAGATCTTAACAGAGATCTGGAGGCGGAGACCTGCCGGATACAGCAGTGGGTTATCAGGCCTGGTCTGAGCACCCTCCGCGACTCGGAGGCGACGTAAACACCCGCCAGTTGCCCACCTGATGCTGTCATAACGGGCACGCGAGTCCTCTGCATCTCAACGTCGGCATCATTGATCCCGTCCGCCCTTCCCCAACCTCGGGATTCATATCTGCAACACCAGACTGTCGCCCGTCTTCGCTTGGCTCTCTGGTCAACCATCCTTTATTCTACAACAACAACCAAAAATGCGACTAAAACTAGGGAATCGCGGCGCATGCACCTCTGCTGGCAGAGTCACGGCTCAGCTGCTCTTATCGTTCCTCGCGGTATCGCCAACCTTGACATCCGCAGGGGAAGCTCCCCAACAAGAACAGGCAGTCCTGCCTCCTGGACCGTTGCTGCCGCCAACCACACAACAACCCCTTTCAGACGAGCACCTATTCACACTACGACACGTCTTCCATCACGGCACATATCGTCATCCTGACTTACACCGACGGAGGGATGTCCGAAGCCACGCAAACGACGCCGAAAGCCAGGTGTGGCTGACCGCAGAGGATGGCTTCGAGAGGGAGAGGGTCCTGCCTCTGAAGGCTCGGAGCTCGCCACTCAAGATAGAACGCTTGGTCGATCGCCGCCCGTCTGTCGTAGACCCCATGGTCACCGAAGCCCGACAGCGCGGCTATGTCAACATCATGTCGCCGTCGTCCTGGACCACCGACGAAGTCCCCGGACCCAACATCACCGACAAGGCGACCGTGCTGAGCATGGCGATGATGGCAGCGAACGCATACGTCGAGGAAGAGGGACAAGCGGACTGGGAAGAAGTTGGTGGTCCGTACAACAGGAGTGCGGACTTTGGTTGGGAGACCGACGGTTTGCGCGGTCACATCTGGGCCGATGCGACGAACTCGACTGTTGTCATCGGACTGAAGGGCACGTCCCCGGCGGTGTTCGACGGCGATGGCACCACCACCAACGACAAAGTCAATGACAACCTGTTCTTCAGCTGCTGCTGTGCTCAGCAAGGACAGTGGACCTGGCATCAAGTTTGCGACTGCGCCACGTCTACTTATTCATGCAACAACACCTGCGTCGTTCAAGCACTCAAGGATGAGCACCGGTACTATACGGCCGCTAAGGAACTATACTCCAACGTCACCGAGATCTTCCCCGATGCAAACATTTGGCTGTCCGGCCACTCCCTGGGTGGCGCGGTTAGCTCTTTACTGGGGTTAACCTACGGTGTGCCTGTCGTTACCTTCGAAGCCGTACCAGAGGCGCTCGCTGCCGGCAGACTGGGCTTGCCAGTACCTCCGGGAGCCGAGCAGATGGTCCATCAAGCTCGTCAGAATACCGGCGCCTTCCACTTTGGCCACACAGCAGACCCCATTTACATCGGCACCTGCAACGGCGCAACTGCGACATGTTCATTCGCCGGATACGCCATGGAGTCTGCCTGTCATACCGGAGTTGAGTGTGTCTACGACGTAGTGGCCGACAAGGGATGGCGCGTTGGTATTGGAACGCACAAGATTCGATCGGTCATCCACGACGTGATCGAGAAGTATGATGATGTCCCGGTATGCCACGCGACACCCGAATGCCGTGACTGCGTCAACTGGAAGATGTATGAGAGTAACGGCACCGAGACCACGACCACATCCAGGTCCTCGACGTCGACAAGATCGACGACTCGCACCCGCACCGCCACATGCCAGACTCCTGGCTGGTGGGGATGTTTGGACGAGACGACGACTACGGGCGGTCCCACGACCACCACCTCTACGTCGACAACGTCAACTTGCAAGACACCCGGATGGTTTGGATGCAAGGACAAGACGACGACTACGTCCACTACGACAACTACTACGTCAACGACGACGACAAGTGAGTCTGCCACGACCACTTGCATGACACCAGGACGTTTCTGGGGATGCAAGGACGCGGTCTCGACGACAGCCTCTCTACCTGTAACAACCACTTCGCATCTCATCACCTCCGCCCCTCCCGCGCCGACCGCAACCCCGACCACGGCACCTACCAAGGCACCTTCAGAGCCCGAGTGTCGCAGAAGATACTGGTTCGGATGGTGCAAGGAGTGGGACCAGGTTTCTGAGAGTATTAGTGAGGAGATGTGATTTTTTTTTCTGTCCCTTTCAATGGTTTTGTATTACATTCACTGGTGTTAATGGGAATGGGTTTGGGTCACGGGAGCATAACAATCAATCATCAACCAGCAGATGGGCGTTTAGTCACGAGAATGAAGTACATAGCAGCAGGCTCGCGCTAGCTGTAGATCAAATACAACGAGTAGAATCAACATTAACCCGAGGGCTTCCGTTTAATATCTCTAATGCGTGCTAAGTCACTCCGCCAACCTTGTCTAGGACCAGCGACAGTGCTGAGCAACATCATGGCTGAATACTGAGGCAAGAAAGATGCGGTGTCCTCATCTTGCTGTCATTAAAGCAGTGTAATGACCTTCCCCTTCATCATTATCCTTCTGGTTGTCACCCTGGTCGTTCTCATTGTTTCAGTGCTACTATCTCGCCATTCTATCCGCCCGAATAGAAAAACTCATGCGGAATGCTATGAATCATCAAGGAGATGCTGCGAGAAAAAGACGTGCTCGCTTGCTATCTATCTCTGGCCGCCGTCGTCACAGAACATCAAAGCTCATGGCGACCTCAACCAAAGCGGTCGAGTCGATGACATGTGGTCACTTGGCTAATCCCTCACACACTCGATCTGGACATTGAAGCAGAGCTGTGGAAAACAACTCTAGGTTGGCTGTAATGACCTCGGGAGGTGGCTGGGCGGCCGCGATTCTCTTCATTCGAAGACCAAAGACCCCCCTCATTCTGCAGCTGCTCTCAACCCTTTCAACCAAGCCCGATGAAGTACGACAGGGGCTAAAGATATGACGCCCCAGTTCGGTTTAAAGAAATCATGAACCTCAGGTGCAGTAGCTTTTTGTAAGATTAGGAGTTTGAACCATGGTTCAATTGTCCTTCTCGAGCTCGTCTGGTATGTACTTGTTGATTCTACTTCCTCCCTCCTCACACTTGACATGACCGTTCGATTCGTGACGTCGTAATGTTTCTTGGTCCCTCCCGCCTACCTGCGATGTATGACTCTACCGTCCTGTTCCATTCCTTGACGCACCCGGACGCCTGACTTCTGACTGAACGTTTAGACTCGATGTGGCCTGTGTCTAGAGTTGCATCCAAGTTCTAGAAGCTGTGGGCGGGTACGAGCTCGGTCAAGCTATTGGCGATTTGACGAATCTCTGAGACTGGCAGCTGCCCAGCTTACTCGAAATGATGCTTTGCCAATTCCTTTCGTGTATCCCAGCAGCAGGAAATGAGCTGGGGACCGTCACGGTGCCGGCTCACAGTCCTGTGATTGACGAGCCTTCAAGACCACTAATGGTGGTGTCCGGCTGTGAAGCGGCTGTGATACCTCCCGACCGCTAAAGCGCTAAGCGTATGTGCTCTGTATGTCATATGTCGAGTTTCATCTCTTGCGTTGCTGGTGCTGCCACAGCCCGCTTAGCAAAAAAAGATAGCGAAGGATGGGCGCCGTATTTCTGTCGTGGTGTTGTTGGAATAACAATCCCATCGCAATTCAAACAAGCTGAGTGAATCATGACTCGTCCATGGCGTCCGGATCGTCTTGTGCAGCAGGCTCACCTGAGCCTCCCCCAAGGGCTGCGACCACGCTTTCAAGTCCCTCAACTTCGCCCTTGGCAAACTTTCTTCCTTCGCCTTGCCACTCTCCGTCTCGAACTTCTCCGTCCTTGCCTAATTCGAGGCCCCTGACGCTCTCAAGATGCTTCCTCGTTTCGCCTTCGACGTACTCCATTCTTTCCCGCCTCCAGCTCTTGTTCTTCTCTGCTCCTTCTTCGGTGCTGGCTGGGTCCTTCAGGTCAGGCATGATATTCCTCAGCGAAGTTGACAGAGCCCGCAGCGCCTGCAGCTGTGACAAATTGAACGCTGTAGTGGTCGTGATCGGCGTCTTGGCGTCGGCCCCTGTCAAGTCACCCTTATTGTGCAAGAACTGGAACGGCGCCTTGTCGTCCGCACCCTCAACCTTGACCTCCGCAGCTCCCAGCGAACTCCTGGCGCCGGCAGGCTTACCGCCGACAACCTCCTTCAACTTCGCCAGTAGCGCCGCGTTCTTGGCCTGTTCCGCGTGAAGCATGACATTCAGCCGTTGGCTGGCCTGCAACTTCCGCCTCAGCGCGTCGATGCTCTCCCTCGTTGGTGCGTCCTCGTGTGCTCCTGCCGTGAAGTCGAGTCCGTCGTAGTGGGCCAGGCGCATCCAGTTTCGGTGGCTTGGTTGAATGCCCAGGATGTTCTGCATCACGTACAACTCGTATTTGTCAAAGTTCTTGTCGATGGCTGCGCATAGTAGCGTCTCGAGCTTGTGCACCCCGTCAATGATCTCTAGTTTTGCCGTCTCCTCGACATTGGCCTGCTGTTCGATTGAGGCTGCCTTCTTTTTCTGCTGCTTGAGTGCCTTTTCAAATCCGAGAGCCTTGGGCGGCGCTTTGGAGAGGCCCTGCTCGACACGGTCGAGGGTCTTGTCGGCGACTGCGTTGACGTTGTTGATGATGCTGTCGAGGAGCGACTACGCCGTAGTTAGCCTCACAATCACCCCAAGATGCACTGGCTAGGATTGAGAAACCAACGTACAATTGGCGCGTATCCAAGGTGTTCAGTCAACAGTTCGACGTCGATAATATTTCGTTGCGCCATCGCGGGCTATTGGGCTGCAGTCAATCGGCGGGGTTGGTCGCAGTCAGGAAAGCAACAACGATGACATGCAGTTCGAAGACGCGATCGACGCGACGAAAGTCAATATTTAGTCCAGGCCCAGGGCGCTGCTTCCTTCAGCAGAGGGGCGCCTTTTTCGCGCCTGAATCGCAAGGCGCCCAGCACGATTTATCTGCCCGCTGGCGGCCCTGCCAGCGCCCGACTGCCCGTTCTCTTAGCGGCCCAATCGTGACCGGGGCGGGGGCGCCCACTCCCGTCCAGTGTCACTGCCACACAAGCCGACGTCACGCAGCGAACCAGGATGCAGCGCTGACGAAGAGCCACCGCTGGAGACATCCATGATTGAACCTCCACCGGAGACGCTTTTACATTAATTGCACAACCGGACACGCCTGCCTCTCCTTTTCACACCGCCCGAAACCCGAGTTGAACATCTTTTTCTCTTGGGTGTTCCCCTTTTCATCGAATCTTTTTTTCGACGTTTGAGAAACCGTGTGCGGCACAATGTCTTCAGGACTCGGCAATTTCATGAAAAATGGGTGGCATCCTGAGAAAGAGGGAACTACGCTCAAGGGTCAAGTGGTGCGTTCGGTCAATCATGGCAGAAAGCACGCAATCGATAAGCTGACGAAGAGAGATAGAATGGACTTTTGGGCAGGAATAAGGAGAAGGACCGAGCAGATCACGTCGCCAGACCATTATCGTCTCTACAAGATCCCTCTTCCTTTGCACCGCCGCCGAGGAGAGATCCACGCCAACCTATCCCGCCGCCGCCTCCACGATCGAGTGCAACGTCGCCTGGTGTGCCGCCTCCGCCTTACGAGGACAATCGCTACGCCCAGCAACAAGAGGAAGAGGAGGCGCCTCCGCCACAGCCATTCCGGGTCAACACGACGGGCTTGTCGACTTCTCACCTGCCGCCGCCGCCGGGACGGAAAGATGGTGCCGACGGAAGGACCCCCGGCCAGACGGCAACACGGCCGCCGCCGAGCCTGCCCCCGAGGCTCCCACCCCGAACACCATCCTCAACCTCGGTAGCTACCGCGCCAGCATCACCTGCACCTCCTCCGACATCCAGCGGCGGAGGATACCTCAACCAAAATGCACTTAACCGGCTTGGATCTGCTGGGGTATCAGTACCTGCCCTAGGCATTGGAAGGCCGGCTCCCCCCGATCCCCCGTCCCGCTCCAACAACAGCAGTCCTGCACCGCCCCCGCGATCAGGGGCTTTCTCGCCGCCTAGCACCGGCCAGATGAACGAGCTGCAAAACCGCTTTGCGAAGCTAGGCAAGAGCTCAGGGCAATCAGCCAGCCCGCCGCCAACGGAAGGGACTACAATGGAACAAAAGCAGGCAGCTCTCCGTACGGCATCCAACTTCCACAAGGACCCGAAATCAGTGTCAATGGCAGATGCCCGCTCTGCGGCGTCCACGTTCAACAACTTCCGTCAACGACATGGGGAGCAGGTCGCTGCCGGCGTCAAGAGTGCAAACAATCTGAATCAGAAGTACGGCATTGCCGACAAGGTTGGAAAGTATGCCGGGCAGGCCAGCGGCCAGCAGCAGCAGCAGCAGGGGGGCACTTCGAGTACCGCGTCTACGCCGTTGTCCCCGCCGCCCGGACTCGTGAACGCTCTAGGGAAGAAGAAGCCGCCTCCGCCTCCGCCGCCGAAGAAGAAGCCTCAGATCGGCGGGGCACCTCAGCCGACGCCGCCCGGCGATGATGAGCCCCCTCCGATTCCCTTGGCAACCAAGCCGACGTTCTAGAGTAGTGCGCATGGATAGAGGCGGGGTCGTTGTCATTACATAAGGCATGCATTTGTGGCGTTCTTTGTTACGGTCAGTCAGGCCACCCCGCGGGGAACGGCACTCTGTAGATATAATCGGTGCCGGCATTGAATAAGAACAAAAGCAGTATCTGCAGTTCACTTCAGCATCCGAGGAATCATTCAAAATATTACGGCCAACACCGAGTGTTCTTTTTTCACTTTTTTGCTTGCTAAGGATCTGAAGGGATATATGCCAAAGCAGATGGACGCTATAGCAAGGTGTCCAGACGTAAAATGGAGCCCAGCACCGAAGAAAATCTCGAAAACAGAACTTTTCCGTCGAGATTCTTAAACCTTCATCTCCTCAAGACCGTGCTTCCAGACGATGATGTAGGGGGTGACACCATCCTCACGGTAGTTCAGGAGGACGACCCTGATCAAAGTCAGTATCCAAATATGGAGAGATATGAATTGGGGTTGCTTCTTACATTCCGTCGGGGTTCATGGACTCGCCAGTGTAGAACTCGAAGTCCTTGAAGTTAGGCAGGAGGGTCTCCTTGACGAACTTGGAGGCGCCGGTCTCGAACTCCTTGACCTTGGCCTCATCGGCACCCTTCTCCTGGAGGGCGGTCTTGACAGCCTTCATGTAGCCTTGAGCAACAGTGTTAGCGGGAACTTCAATTTCGATATGCTGGCCATGATTCGCCTGTAGTTTTACGCACCCTTGAGGTAGGTCAAGTAGCTCTTCTTGTCGAACTGGGTGGACTGAAGACGGAAAGAGTGGACGATGTTGTTGACCTTGACCTCGGCGTCCTCAACACCCTCGTCAGCCTCCTCGGCGGAAGCGTTGGCACCGGTGTCTGAGCGTTGCTCCGTTAGCATCCTGTCGCTGTTGCTTCTTCTCGCTGGAACCGGAAGTAGGCGCGGGGTAAGCGCCCAGGGGGTATATGGTAGGGTATTACGAACCGACGTTGACAGTGCCCTCAGTGATCATGGCGCAGTCAGCCTCGTAGACAGTGCCAGCGATCTCCTTGAGGTCGTAGGAGTCCGAGATGATCTCGTCTCCGGTGAGGATGTCCTATTCAATGCGGGGTTCTGGTTAGCTTTCCGATCCCCCTATCAAGAAAAACATTTTCTGTCGCTTTTTTCCTCCGCCGCCCAAAATGGCGGGGTACAGAATCCATCTAACTCGTGTACCTCTGCAAGGCCATCGGTATGTCGTCTGAAGGGGCTTGGTGTCGTACCTTGTAGATAATCATCTTGGCGGTTTGTCTGAGAAGGTCGAGGGGTGTGAAAAATGAACGAGACTGCGAAACGGAAATTCGTTGTCTGGGTCTGGAGAAGAGAAGAGGGGTCGCTTTTGAAGGGCGAAAAGTGTTCGCAAATTTGGCAAGTGGGAGGACTGTGTTTGGTGGGGTTTTAGGCGCTAGGTCGTTTTCGGACTGGTCTCGATGGCCGGCCGGGTGCGTGTTAAGGATTTGGGTGAAGAGACAGGGGCTTGACTAACGGGACAGGCGACATGGCCGAAGGGCGAGAACGTGCGCGCGGACCCGGAGGACACTCGCAGCTGGCTGCGGGCGAGCCTGATCTGCTGGAATGCGCATATATCAACCTGATGGAATCTCAACCTGGGAAGGTATTTTGTTTTGGCGTCTTATTTACCATTGTGCATGGATCGCACCAACCTGGATTCTTGTACACAGGAACCCATGACCTGTACGGCTTGATGATACCAACACTTGAGAATAACCTCTTGGTCAACAACCTGCAAGGTGCAGCTGGATGAGCGTGTCTTAGCTAAGCCAGCCGATGAGGTTGAGGCGACGGCGCCGCAGCCGCTGAAGGCTCCAGGGAGATATCCACCACATCCACGTTCGAAGCTGGGATAGCCTCAATTGCGCCCAGCAGGGAGCGACAGCGGTGAGTTCCAGCCCGATCTTTCAACTGCCAGTCTCTGGCGTGTCACATGAACCTCTCTCCGACATGGAGCATCGTCTGGTCTTGGGTCTGACCCTTGTGAGAATGACCCTTTTCTAGAATAGCTATGATGGGACCAACGCCTCACTTTGGACAAGTCATCAAGTCCAGCACCCGTCATGATCAAGCCATGCCCTGCCTGAATTCCTTCGAACGACATGCGGATGTTATTGACGCATGGCACGGAAAGGGGCATCCTCGAGAAGACATTTTGTTGACAGCAGAGAGTGGGCGCATCATCACGATGAGATTGGGCTCTGGACTTATTAAGCATCACCCCTTCATGTCAACACGGCTCGACCAGTCAGCTTCGTGGATCACGGCGAACCGGGCTTACTTAAGCCACCGAGTTGTCCGCGTATCCACGGTGGTGACAGGGGAGAGCCCGGTGGCCTGACACGGCAGCGTAGCAAGCCGCGCAGGGTGTTAAAGTTATGACAACATGACAAGGCCGCCGCGAATTACGCGAGGAGCCAGCTCGTGGTTGGAGTGGCAGGCGTTCGTCATCGCAGCGTATTGTCGGCTGTCAGTGCCAACACGCGGCGAGACTCGCAAAGGAGCGAGGGAGCGCGCAATTGTCGAACCCAGTTACGAGTGCACGCATAAATGGAATGGCAATTGGTGCATGCTCGCAGAGTCTAAAAGGCCTCCAGCTGATCTTGTCCCCCAAGTGACCAAGCTTAGAACGCGACGGCATTTGTGGTTCGATCCGTGGCAAAACCGGGAGACAGTCGAAAGGCGAGAGGCCCGCGCCTTTTCACAAGCGAGATTGATAAAGCGCATCATTCTTGGAGTGGGTGATGGGCCAGCACGGCACCACCGCAGGGCCAGCGCCTCGAGAAGAGCCCGGCCTCCGAGAAAGGGAAAAAATTGCCCGCCCGCTCTTCCGCCGTCGCCGCTAAGACCGTTGCCTATCATCTTTTAAAGCACCGAGCGGCCAGCCCAGTGAATAAGACCGTACCTCTAATACCTGCTGCTGTTGTTTTTTGCTCTGCTCCCATCTCTCTCTCACTGTGTACTTACATACCTAAAGTCAAGCGCTATCATTTTTTTGCATTGCAGACAAGGACCAAGCTAGTCAAAGCTAGTGAAACCTCGACCAACAACTCGCCACAGGCCCAGTCGACTGCTCGTCTCAGCCCTGTCTGCATTTGCACCCAAGGATTGGCATTTCATATCCGTACATATCCAACCCGTCCGCTCCTTTGGCCTGCGAACGTGCTTCGCCCCCCGCCCT